AAATAAATAAATAAATAAATATTAAATAAATAAATGAATTTGGAAAGTAGATCTTAGGACAAGGTTTCAAAGTGTTGTTCTGAGACGAGGCTGTCATTAAGTTTTGAGTCACCTATAGCCTTTTTCTCCACATCTGTAGCAAACTTGTTACTTTGTGGGTGAATTCTTTCAACAACAGGCACTTTTACCTGCAGCATCAAGGGAAAATCAAGCATACTCAGCCGTAGCAGTTGTTGCGGGTTACGGCCCTTTGAATGACAGCTCTGTGAGAGATAGTATTGATCCGGAATTAAACATTTTTTTATTTATAATGATAACAAGAAATGGTTATCATTACTATAATCTTGAAACACTGTTCTCAATGACCTTAGGATGATTTACTGTCAAGTTGTAAATTATTTAAGGTTTTCGCCTTGGGGGGAGGTGGGGGGAACTCCCATGTGAACAGGTCAGGAATACTTGTTGCTTCACTTAGGAGTATAAAATCAAGGATTCTGGTCTCACTTAGGCTTTTCAGGACAAAATACCACTACTTTTAGCTTTTTAGGGTTGCGCTCGAAGAAATAATAAAAAACACTGAAAGAAGGTCATGTCCTGGAAACTTTTAATCTGAACTTGAAATCTCAGATAAGTCACAAGGTCTCATTATTTTTTTGTGGGTTTTTTTTTTCTGCCTCTGGGTCTAAAATCTTTCAAGTCTCAGTGGTATTTGGTGAGCAAATATGTTACATTTACTTTTATTACAAAAGGCCATTCGATAGTAATTTGCTACTAAATGTTCCTTCACAGTACCAGCGGTGATGTCCAAAGTGCATTGCATCATTTGGTGAATATGAAGAAGACGCTTGTTTCAGAGAAGAATATATTGCAGCCTCTTTGGTCTCCATTTAATTGGAGACCAAATGAAAACAAAAGAAAAGCATTGAGTTAAACAGAACAATTCCAGGATGATATGCTGCTACCTAAAAGACTTGAATATATCATCAAATAACTGATTTGCAGTTAGAAAACAAAACAATTGTACAAAGTTTAAGTAGTTCGCCCTTCTGGCAACATTTAAATAGGTATCGATTCATGCTCCAGTGCGCATCATCTGGAGTCTGGAGAGCATGAATGAAAGAGAAGAGTCACTCAAGGTATAGTCAAGACCAACTCTATTTCAATTTTCTGAAAATTTGGTGAAACTGGGACAGGGAATTTATTTTGTTATCCCCGAAAAAGGTTCTCAGATCAAGAGCTTACAGAAAGAGAGGCTACTAGAAGAAATACAGTTACCACACTTGTTTCATTTAAAACTTGATTTATTTATGAAGATACACTGAGAGTGTATCTCAAACGGTGTACTGGGTTGGATTTAAAAGTCGAATTCTAACGCGTTACAAAATAACTTTCTTTTTAACAAAAGCTTTAACAATTTTGCTGCACAACCAGCCAACTATAATATTACGTCCTCTACATGTTTTATTAATCTTTGGTAGCACTTTTTTCACTTTCTCCTCTTCCTATTCCTCTTCGTGTTCCCGTGTAACATTCACTTCGTCCTCTTACTTGTCCGCTTCTTGTTCTCCTTCCTTGACGTTCGCAGTCACTTGCCCTTCTTTAACTTCCCCATCGTCTTGCTCTTCCTCTTCTTTAACCTTCACCTGTTTTTGGTCGTCATCGTCATCTTCATTATCGTCGTCGTTGTCTTCTTTATCTTCATCGTCATCTTTCGCTTTCTCGTACCCTTCTATTTTCCGCTGTTGATTTGCAGGAATCCTCGTAATGACAGCTAAACTGCCCTCTTTCTGTCTCTCTTCATTTTCATCATCGTTACCAACATCATCAACTTCAACATCAACATCACCACCGTCACCGTCATAGGTATCGTCCTCGCCATCACCACTGCCGTCACTACCATCACCACCATCACCAATACCGTCGTCATCATAATCACCATTACCACTGCCACCTTTTTATCATCACCATCACCACTACAGAGGAAGCCACCTCCACAGTTATCATGATCACCGTCACCATCACCACTGTTATCGTCATCATCATCATCTTCCTCTCCCTTCTCTTTCTTTTTGTACTCTTTCATTTTCTCTTCTTGATTTTCAAGAACCCTTCTGTTGACAGTTAAAATGTCCTCTTTATATTCCACTTCACTCTCATCACCTACATCTTCCCCACTGTCATGACCTCCACTGTCACCATCACCACTGCCGTCATCATCATCATCATTATCATCACCATCTCCACTGTCATTGTCACCATCATTATCGTCGTTTTTCTTCTCTTCCTTACGGTACTCTCCCCTCTTCTCTTCTTGATTTGTGAGAACCTTTCTAATCACAGTTAAAATGTCCTTTTCATGCTCCACTACTTGGGTGTCATTTTGTTTCTTGTGATGTTTCTTGATGTTTCTTGTTATGTGTCTTGTGATTTCTTGTGATTTCTTGTGATTTTTGGTGCCAAGTTTCAAGAACACTGCTTCAATATTTTCTAGAGATATCGCTTATTCAGTATTTTACCATTTTTAGTTGCAAACAATATGACGTCCTCATTGCTCTAATTTGCATAATAGAAAACGTCAATATCTCTAAAACGAAAAAAGATATTTCAAAAAGAAAAATGCCATTCTTCTGTATTTTGAAAGGCCTTTCAAATGAGCAGAAATTATTTTTCATGTCATATGCACTTTGAAAAGTTTTATGTTTTGTATTAATTCTTTTGTCCTCGTTCAGACCTTTGGATTTTCTTGAAAGATATTCTATCTTCTTAACCTATTCGGTGGATATATTTGTATTTTCCTCATCCCCATATAAATACTGTCAAACGCGTTGCTCCACACTCCATGCTAACCGAAGAAGCTAAGCGTCCGCGCTCTGCACAACCCAGTTGCTATGCGACGGCGTTGTACACAAGCAAGTATCTGTGGGTTTTCATTGCGAGAGACAGATAGCTTGCAATGTTTATAAGATAAGGGTAATAATGACTGCTTGGGAGTAATCGTCTAGTTTATATCTCTGGCCAGTTCAAAGTATTAGTTCGTTCTCTACCTTTCCCCTGTTAAGTGGCTAATCCGAATTTAGGTTTTTTGTATTTTTTCAATAATTTAACTTGCCATAGTTTTTTTAATTGGAAACACTTACGGCCCCTAGAGGAGTGTTAAATGGCACTTTGCGATGGACTAGCATCCCAATCAATGGGGAGTAGAAATGCCTCTAGTCACTTCGTGCCACAGACCAGGATAAGCTCCGGCCTGATGGGCCACCTGGCCCAATGCAGACCTCTTTTAAAAAACGTAACATTTTTGTACTCGTAGAACGGACGCGCAAAATAAAAGTCGAGAAAAGTTCAACACTTCGAAAAAATTTTCACAAGACGGGTTATCTTCGCCACAAAGTCACTTTTGCAATCTATTTTTCTCTAATTTTTCTTACCTTGGTTTTATTCGTGGGGATTATTTGGTACGCGTAGGTCACGTTCAATATGGGTGGTCCATTCGTCGTTTCAACAATGTGTGTAAATTTGAAATACCTAACTTTTTCGCACTTGTATCCTATCGATAATGCGATTCTTGTTGATCAATTTTTTTTCCTTACGTTCACTATCACCTGAGTGACCTTATTTCCGTTTTAATTGAATTGTTTGTCCTTGTCATGTACACTTCGTCTGACATTATGGCACCTTTGTCGTCCTTTGAAATAACAAAACTCTAGCTTGTTCAAGCTCGCTAGCTGCTTCAACCTCACAAACGGTCAAACGACACAACAGATGCCATTGTTTCATCATATCTTCGAAACACTTTTCTCCTCGCGCTTGTAGCTGAATTTGCGCGCGCCGAAAGTTTTGCTTTCAAGTCGACAAAATCTGCTCATTTCCAATAAGTAATGCAAGACCGACACTTTGATCAACCTAGTTTTACAAACGTTACTGCACTCATTATGGTTTGTTTTGAAGCCATTCAAGGCAACTTAATCCAATATTAAGGTACAAGTTCAGTCACACGCCAGTTACTAACGTTCATCACAGTACATGCGTATTGCTCATTAGTAGATTAATTCAACTTGCACACCAATGTTGCAATCTAAGCTATCGTTAACCTGCATAAAAAAAAAACCATCCCCCGAAAGTGACATTGTAAAATTGTGGCAGCTAATGAATCCGGAATGCAGAAATCCCCCAAAAGAAACGAGCCCACCCCACTCCCCTCCCGAAATTAGCGAGACCAGGGTTCAGTAATATATTTATTTTTCAAATCAATAGTCAAGGAAAAGTTGCGTATTGCAAATTGATAAATACCCGAGAAATACCAGAGGACAAACGTGGGAGCAAGTTCCAAGTAAAGGTTTGGGTGATAACTCTTTCCTCGTTATTAAGCGTGAATTTGCAGGGCTCGATGCATTACCCAAAGCCGCACCTTAGCTTGCTATTATATGACAGAAGCGCTAAAATAGCCCAATGACATAAGTACGAGGCTGGTATATTCATCTTTATTCAAGCCACTTAACAACAATAGCCAAAATTGAATATGCTTTTTTTTTTCTAGTGTAAGATAAGTTATTTACTAAGAATACAAAAACCTAGTTAGTACTCAGAACTCTGCAAAGGATGATAAAATCCGAAATTTCGTATTTGAGTTTTTGACCACTCAATCGATCTGAATCGTTCATTTACTAGTAGTATATCTTTACTTTGTACTTTCTAGAAATCTGTTATTTATTCTTAAAAACGTGTGTAGATCAAACTCCCATGGAGAAGTAAGTGTCGTAAAAGACCAAATCATATAATTGCTCTTTGCCGTTTTCCTCGATTTGACTTTGTAGTATGCCTACTGTTCTCAGAATACCGCTTTTACACGAAATAAATATCTCACTTTTCTGATAAAATAAATGTTTTAAGCTATAGCGATTATAGGCGTTATTTCTTTTCAGTTGACTGCAACCTCTGCATTACATGCCTGCCGTATGCTTAATTCCTGTAGAAACAATAAAACATTTCAAAAGAGTCAGTGCAACCAAAGACTTATTGAGTCTTCACTCAGTAAACTTGAGCTCACACTCTTGAAACTAGCGGCAGTTTACTGCAAGAGCGTAAACTCAAGTTGCCCGCTTTGGGATCACGTACACTAGCCTTAGAACAAATCATATTCAAGTACCAAGTTATTGAAGCCAAATAATGTAATAAAGCTAGCCACATTAATTCAATGCTGGACTTCAAACAAGGAGCAAAGACACTTAAACCATCACTAAGTTAAATCGGTTTTAGTTCTCAGGATCAGGAGTGACGTTGCTAATATCTGAAGCAAATAGAAATATCGCTTCTACCCCTGATGGGATGCTACTGTAGTCCATTACCCCCTCCCTCCCTCCCTCCCTCCCTCCCTCCCTTCCCACGCGAAAAAAATAATGGCTATCTACATATCTAGGGAATCCACGTACCTCATTTTTCACGGACATCAAATCTTGAGCATATTCCACTTCCTTTGTACCATCTCCAGCGTCTTTTTCCTTCAATGCCTTGTCACTTAGAAGAACCCCTGAAGCTGCCTTCAGTGCTGCAATGGATTCCCGTCCGCTGAACAACCTCTCGATGGCGATTGCTGGTGCACCCATAAAGGCTGGTGCTGCTACGCTACCGGTCAGTTCGGGAGTTGATCCTAATCTGAAAATCAGTAAAAAAAATAACCAATAATCTAACATGCAAAAGGACTCAATCTCGTTCTCGTCCTCGATATCGTCATCATAGTCTTCCTCCTCCTCCTCATCCTCCTCCTCATCATCATCATCGCCATCATCATCTTCACCGTCACCGTCATCGTCATCGTAACCATCATCGTCCTCGTCGTCGTCACCACAATCGTTGTAGCTGTCGTCTTCATCATCATTATCATTCTCGCCCCCTTCGCCGCCGTCATCCCCCATCACTTCCCATATTATTAATTACAGTATCATCAGAATATTCACTCACTTGTTAGGATGAATAACTCGGATTTCCTTGCCCTTCTTGAGAAGCTCCAGCGCCCTCAATCTGCCGATATAAGGGCTACCTCCTCCACCACACCCCATGATACCTGCTCCGATGGCGATACATTCGATATCAAACTTGTTCAGTATCCAGTCCCCTGATGCCGGGTCTACGTACGGATCACTTGGCTCCATGTCTTCGACTTCTACATTGGCTTGTTCAGACATAACAGGGACTTGTTCAACTGGTGAAGACTCCTTGGCTGAATCCGCGTCACCTAATGTCCATCCTTTGAATTAAAGGTTCCAAGAGAATTAACCGCCTTACTGAGTAGCTTGAAGCAACACCATCTGACACTAGAGCCCTAAAGGCTTAATGTCACACACCATTCAGCGTTGCTATAGTCTGGGTACACACTTTCAAGTCTGGTGAGAGCTTAGAAAAATTTAGTAGTCTGTTTCTTGCCTTTTAAACTCTGGAAAAATACTAAATGTCTGAAAACAGGACAAATGAAGTGTCTACTATATGATAATGATGATGATGATGATATTTCTGTTGTTGTCAATTGTCACTACTGAAACACAACATTCATATTTCCAAGGAATCGTGAAACATTCACAGTTATACCTATCTCAGACAATTCCTCGGGGCTTTTAGCCTTGCAGTCGGCTAAGTCTCCAACAACTTTCAGATAATAACGAACTGCATTTCCAGGCAGATAAGCCAGTGGTACGTCCATCACGTCAATAACTTTTAACGTCTGTTCGTCAGCACCTTCCTTAACAGCTCGTTCACGTGCCACTTGTTCGGCGTCCTCGCGTGCCTTTTCACGGGTAGTGTTGTTCATGGGAATTACTTGATCATATGTTCCACTGACTTTACTTAAAGCAGCCCCAACAGCATTTGCAGCCTAAAAAGCATAAATAGGAGGAGAACACTTGTTAGTCACAGAAACAAACATCGCAGTGGCTCCCGGAGGTACTCCAGATACATTTTTTCTTTAATTCCTCAGTCATGATTCTATTTCTTCGCAAAGACTCGACCATTGGCGACTAAAATTGCTATTTGCTATATGGCGTGTGTTTGCAGCCGATATAACGCGCCCTCTGATTGGCTAATCCTAGGGCACAAGTCTCCTATGATGCCCACGGGCCTATTAAGGGCCTGTAAAACAAAAGTAGAAAGCCATATAATAAACAACTTATTAACCTCGAACGTTCCGTTCTTGCGTGAAAATCTCAAGCCTCGGCACCTGGGAGAGAGGCACTGTGAGAGTTACGTGTCTTGTCCAAGAACACAACACAATGT